AACTCATGGTAGATCATGGTGTACCAAAGATGGTATTGACGGATCAAGATCTCTGTTTTGAGAGTGAGAAGTTCAAGACTTGTCTAGAGGCACTGAGCATTAAAAGAATTAGAGCGATGTCGTATCATTCTCACACAAACGGCCCAACAGGAAGGAATAGTCATACACTCAAGGAATGGATAGCTGCGAAGAGAGGCAAGTGGGAAACTGACCTACTGTTCGTATTACTGGCACATCGTGCCACAATGCAGGGGACAACAAAAAATCTCCCTTCCAGCTGACTTAAGGGAGGCGACGACGCTTTCCGGTGCGCCATAAGACTTGGCCACAACAACAACATTGGGAAAGCAAGAGATGGACAAGTGAGCCGAAACAAACTGTTCAGAATGTACAACAGAAGCAAAAGGTAGGCATCGAGAAAGCTGGGAAGAAACAGTTAAAAGCTTGGAAACCGTTTGAAATAGGTGATCAGGTGAAATAAAAAGAACTAGAGTATAATACCGGAGGTAGACCATGATCAGGAAAGCTTCTCCCAAAGTGGAAGGGACCATATGTGGTCATTTCGCGGCGTGGTCCAGTGTACATACAGGAGATAAAGAAAAAAGAGTAAACGCAAGTCTGCTCCAAGGATGGATACAAGAATGTCATGAAGAAAAGCCTGAAGAGCAGTGGGATGGAACCTTTGTGTGGCAGTTGAGGCGGTTACAGGAAACACTGCATAATAAAGGGGCGAGTGTGGTGAGTACTACTTATAATCAGATTTAAGTAGTATATCAATAAACGAATTCAGAAAAGTAACAATGTGTTTTGGACACTGGAAAAAGCAATCGAAGAAGATGACTCTATGAAGAACGTACAATACTGTGCAGAATCCAACAAGCTATCGAAACTAGTGATATTTTACTAATTTGCAAATGATGTGCAAATAAAGACTTCAATATAAGGTATACCGAATTCATGTACATACAATTGGTTTGTCCAACTAAACATTGCATTGGAGCCCCAGCAGTTACTTCTCTCTTACAGGCTGTCAAATAAAAACCTCTCACGCCTTATTTAAGTAAAAATATTCATTAATCCAATATTTACTACAATAATTTCAAAATCATTAAGCCAGCTAAATACAATGAGCTTAAGGCCTTTTTAATTTTCTTTCTGAAAATTGAGAAAAGTATCTTTTTTGTATAGATGGTAGCGTACAGATATTAAGAACTTGAAATGATGTCTGTTGGTACTACACGCTTTTATCAATCAAACCTTGTATTCAGAGACGTTTTAGTTACTGTAAAATAAATTCAAAAGGTAAACTTTTTCTGTACACTTAGTAGGAAAATAGGCGCAAATGACATGAAGATAGGTTAAGTAGAATCACTAGCTCGTATACTGAATGGCACTATGGTGGGTAAACTTCACTGCAACAAGGAAGGGACAAAAGTTTAGGTAAGAGTTATTTCTCAGTAATTATTACTATTTGTTATCAACACCTTTTCTGGCAAAAAGTGGCATATGTCATTTCAGTGAGCGCTGGGTGAAAATTAGAAACATTCTTCTCTCTCTCTCTTCTATTCCATATAACAATTTCCAAATGTTACCCACTTTAAAAAGCTCAGAAGGCGTCTAAAATACTTTCTTTCGCTGCCCACTGAAATTTAAATATCATCAGTTTGGAGAATTTACAGGTATCGCTTTTGAAATCTGTTGTTAGAAACACTTTATGAGCGTTGTACTAACAGCATAAACAGTCAGTCGGCTGTAAGCGATTCGTGCTGCTCAGATGGCGCTCACTAAGCTGACCTGATGTCGAGGAAAACTACAATGACTGTGAAATCAACCTAACCTTCTTCCTTACTACCTTAGTTTGTAAAAGAAACACACAATATTAGGTAAGGCTGGCATAGTTTGAAAATTGAAAATGAAATCTTTAATTTCCTTTCAAACTCAAGATATTAGCAAAAAATTCCTCAAATTCTTGAGCGTTATGGTTATAAGATTCAAGAGTATTTGATAAGAAGGATTGTATTATTCGTAAATTTTTTTTTTATTATTCATTGAATAGCTACAGACATCATTTCCACTCATAACCATTTATTTTAAACAAAACAGTACCACTTGATATGTACATTTCATACAGCTGATTGCCATTTGTTACAGAATACGGAATGTTATTATTATCCCCTTCGGTTCCAAGTGGAACACAGGGCTTCAACAATACATTTCCACTTTGTTCTAGTCTCTTCCGTCCGCTTCAACTGCGCCTGTGATCGCCCAAACTCTGTCATCTCCTCCTCCAACTCACATAATCTCCTTCATATCAAGATCACACCGCTGACCCACTCGTCGTTTCCCATTTTGGCTCCATTCGAGGTTATGCCTGCCATGTGATGTCATTCGTCGGCCTTTTCACCATTTTCTCAATATATCTGTTGGGCGATCGGCTCTTACTTGTTAGTTTGTTCCCGACAAGAGTTTCTTGTTACTAATCCTTTATAGCCGGACGTCTGACAACTTGTGTTGAAAATCCCAATCCATTTCTTTATGCCGCTGAGTCACAGAAAGGGATTTCCAAACTGGTTCCAAATTTAAAACAAGCAGTAAAGGTTAATAAAGCAGGATGATTTAATGAATTCATCAAATTTCGGTAGAACTCGTCAGCTGAATACTCTACATACACTGATATATATACTTGTGAAATTACATTGGTTCCAAATTGGTGAAGGTGTATCTCGCCTTTCCAATCCTGGCTCAATGGCTAGCTGGCGGGTTGGCTGGCTGGCTAGCTTTGACATCTTCGTCTGTTCCGATTGCCTCTGGTTGAAACCATGCTTCCTAGCCGGATAAGTGAAGCAAATAACCTCTATGAAATCTCTACAGTTCATGGTGATTGGTTCTGGTTGTGGTTGTTGTTGTTGTTGTTGCTGCTGCTGCTGCTGCTGTTGGTGTTAGTGGTGGTTGGTTATCTTCATCACCTCCTCACTCTTCGCTATGTTCACCTGGATGCAGTGGTGTCTTCACCTGCAGCCAGCCTCTTCAGCCAGTTCATTACTAGTTTTCTCCTGCATCTACGTCTTTGAGTTTGTGTGATATATTACATAAGTCATCCAGGTGTGAAATCCGGATCTCCTATAGTCTTCTGATCGGTCAGTGAAGAATGTTCCTGTCTTCTCAGTCACACCCAACACACAGTCTGACGCATGATCCAGTCCACCAGGAGTAAGAATATCATCGTTGGTGATAATAGGCAGGCAGGCAGGCAGGCAGCCAGCCAGCCAGCTTGTTTTATACTCCTGCATTCACCTCGTACGCCTCTCAGTGACAGTAGACAAATCATTATCAGTTTTGTGTGATAATTAATGTCGAAGTTCATCATTTACTTTTGAAATAATTTCTGATGGACGTTTTATGGAGTAACTACTTACTCGACTGGCTAACCACATTTAGTATGTATGACTATTTATCACAGGAAATATATACTACTGTATATGTTGACGAGAGAAACAAAAAGATCCATTCTGGACTGGCAACAAATATTCACTGGTCAGTTTTCAGTCGCTTTTTCAGTAACTGACTCACGGTTCAGTGGTGGAACTACGGAACTGGAAAACAAAGTGTGAACATTGATTTGATGTCCAATTTATTGATTTACACTACGGTTTGTATAATTATTATTTAACATTTTTTATCTAATGATTTCTAAATTATCTTTTATGTATGCACATCTTTTTCTAAATATTTTAGACCAGATCATGCGTTAAAAGTTCAGTGGTTTAAGAGAGGCTCGAATGGTAGACGTGAGCTCATTATTCCATCAGTTATATCACAATCAAAACTAAACGGTGAACAGCTACAGTTCTATAACCAACCAACTTATAAATTTGATTCATCTGGTTTAAATCGGACTCTAATCATCAGCAATATACTACCAGATATAATACCCTCGGATTATCATTACAAGTTAACTCAAAAAAGTGTTTACTCTGAAGAATACACATGTCATGCTTATTTAAATGGATATAACAGCAATAATGTATTTGAAATGAACGACTTCTTAGTTGGAGATTCAGAATTCATTTCATCACCATCATCGTCATCATCGCTGTTGTCTTCTGCATTCAGTTTATATAGAAGTGTTAGTCCCATTTCAACTACAGCACGACTGAAGTTATATCTTCCACCGAAAATTCATTTTCCACCGAATATCGATGTAAACAGTTCAACAATTCAATTAGAATTTATTCCTAGACCAAGTAAGCTGATAGTGATTGAAACCAGTGCCAGTATGGATATTCAACTACCGTGTGAATTAGATAGGGTTGGTATACCAGCAGCTGAGATTAAATGGTTAAGAAATGGTGATTCTATTAATATCATCAACAAAGATCGGTAAGTTTCCTACATTTTTGTTCAAAACTTTCTGACTGTTAATTTATCAAGAATAATTTACTTCACATACTAAAATTTCATTTGCTGAGTCATCGAAAATCAGAGAACTATAGACTGTTGTAGATTAGGGGGGGGCAGTATGGAGAACAATCCCTTATACTGGATCTAGGTTTACGTCAGCGTTTCACATGGATTTTCATAGTAGCCGACGTCGGTCACGCTATCCTCGGAGCTGATTTCCTAAGTAATTTCAACCTGTTAGTTGACATCAACAATAAAAAACTTATTGATAACAACACCCAACTAAAGATCCATGGAATTATCTCCAATTATTCTGTCTATAATATCAGCATCGAAAGACCAGCGGATTGCACTTTTTCCGCCCTACTCCATCGTTTCCCTAAAGTACTTAAGCCGTCGTACAACATCGAGGAAGTCCCTCATACAGTCACTCACAAGACTGTTACCACAGGTCAACTGGTTCGTGCTCGTCCTCGTAGATTACCCCCGGACAAATTGGCAGCAGCCAAGGCAGAATTTGAACACATGATGCAGCTCGGCATCATCAGAGCCTCCAATAGTCCTTGGTCTTCATCCTTACACATGGTGCCTAAAGCTGATCATAATTGGAGGCCATGTGGGGATTATCGACATTTAAACAATGCCACAATTCCGGACAGTTACCCGATTCCCCACCTTCATGATTTCTCCCTAACATTACGTGGAAAAACCATTTTTTCTAAAGTAGACTTGGTCAGGGCCTATCACCAAATACCAGTTGTCCCAGAGGATATCGAAAAAACGGCCATCATCACACCTTTCGGTTTGTTCAAATTTCTGCGCATGCCATTTGATCTAAAGAACCCCGCACAATCCTTCCAACGCTTCATGGATCAGGTCACACAAGGTTTGGATCTTGTATTTGTATAACTCGTCACCTGAAGAGCATACTGGTCACCTCACCATCTTATTTTAGCGATCTGAGCAATATGGCGTCGTCATTAAACCCAAAAAGTGCATCTTCGGTGTCTCATCTATACAGTTTCTGGGACACCACATAACCGCAAATGGTATTAGGCCTACGGAGGGAAAGATAGAAACTATTAAGAACTTTCCCGAACCAGAATCCTTAAAGAAACTTAGACGTTTCCTCGGGATGTTCAATTTCTATCGACGTTTTATTCCATCATGTGCTTCCATAGTTCAGCCACTGACCGACCTACTTAGATGCAATCCGAAGAAATTTCAGCTGTCTGAAGAAGTAAAAGCAGCATTTAATAATGCAAAAGGTGCTTTATCCAACGTTGTAATGTTGTCTCACTTCAACCCAGAAGCCTCACTCATTCTATGTACAGATGCATCGCAGGTAGCAGTTGGAGAGGTTTTACAACAAAAGTTCAACAATGACAACACTCCACTTGCTTTCTTCTCCAAGAAGTTGGAACCTGCGCAAACTCGTTACAGCACCTTTGGTAAATAACTGTAAGCTATCTATCTAGCAGTGAAACATTTAAGCTTCTTATTACAAGGTCGACATTTTGCTATCCTAACCGATCATTAGCCTCTTTGTTATGTTTTTACTACTTCGTTGGACAGACACTCTCCGAGAGAAGCCAGACAACTGGATTACATATCACAATTCTCAACAGACATCCAGTTTATCAAAGGAGATTCCAATATTGTAGCCGATTCTTTGTCTCGATGTGATGTTAATCAGCTCCTATCTTCGATAGACATTAGCTTAGACAATATAGCCAAGTTGCAGAAAAATGACACCGAACTCCATACTTGTAGACGAAAGTCCTCCCTACAGTTGCAGGATATACCTATTCCTCTGTCTGATACAACTATCGTCTGCGACGTTTCCACCGGCGTTCACCGACCTTTTGTTCCACTAAGTTGTCGAAAACCTTTGTTTGAACATCTACATTCTCTGTCTCATCCTGGAGTACGTGCTACGGTTAAGTTAATCAGCGAGCGTCTCGTTCGGCCCAAGATGAACTCCAATATTCGGAAATAGGCACGCCAATACTTGCAATGTCAAAGATCCAAGGTACATCATCATACCGTCACAACTCCAAAGCAGTTCAACTTACCAGATAAACGATTTCAGCACGTGCATATAGATATTATTGGACCATTACCACCATCCAGAGGTTTTACACATATCCTTACTGCTGTTGATCGATTTACCCGATGGGCTATTGCTTGTCCGCTCAACGACATATCTGCAGAAAATACCGCTTTGTTTTTCCTAGATCGTTGGGTGTCGATCTATGGAGTACCAACAACTATTACGACAGACCGAGGAGCTCAATTTCAGTCAACCCTGTTTCGAGAGTTTACGAGACTCCTTGGAGTGAACCACATCTCCACTACAGCTTATCATCCTGCAGCGAATGGTCTGGTGGAACGTTTCCATCGACAACTGAAAAGCTCCTTGATGGCACAAGCTGACTCATCTTAGTGGAGTGAACACCTGCCATTAGTTGTTCTCAGTATCCGATCAACTGTCAAAGAAGATTTGGGATGTGCACCAGCTCGACTTGTGTATGGTACTACCCTCGTTCACACAGAAAAGGCGACTTGTTTGCTTGCCAGTAACAGCTGTCGCCATCACTGTCTGGCTGAGACGTTTCCCTGAGCCTGGTTGGCTTCGCTAAAGCTGCACGGTTTTACACATTTCAGGGCATGACGTCCAAACTTCTTGTGATACCAACATATATTACTGTCCCGAGAAGACGTGTGGGAACGCTGGCGTGAGAGAGATCGTCGACATGATGGTGACCTTGCTTGTGAACTCCGTCTCCGGACACGTCGATCAGACCTATTAGTTTCCAACTTGTCAATCCTTGCAGCTAAGTCTGCAATGGCGGCGCTTATCGGTTTGTCTGCCGTGGGTATGAAATGACACGGTGTGGCACTATCAGATGCTATGTGACCTATGGTTTTATCAGATAAAACATCCATAATACTATCTGCCATGTCACTTAGTGGGTCTAAGTCATGCGACTTTCCTGAGATGATTAAAATTTGCTGGACATTTCTAGGTAAACGTTGCAACCACATCTGCTCCAGCACTACCTCGTCTACTTTATGGTGTCAGATTAACTGGCGCATGTGCCTGAGGAGCTGGGATGGTTTATGTGGGCCTAGTTCACAGCCCGTGAGCAATTGTTGGATTCTTTTCTCATCTGACAAACTGGTGCGTTGTATGAGGAGGGCTTTAAGTTTGTCAAATTGGTTTTCCGTCGGGGGATTTTCGATGAAGTCGCTGATTTCTGTCAATACTGACGGAGGGAGTTCTGCCAGCACTACACCATATTTGGCTATCTGGGACTTAATGCCCCATGCTTCTAGCAATGGCTCAATTACTGCAAACCAAATCCTTGGTTCTGCGAAACCATATTGCTGTAAACGAAAATCAGTGATGGCATTTATTGTGGCACTTGTCGCGTTACTAGTTGTCTGCTCGGTTGAGGTACCGGACTGAGGTGACGACATTATAGATAAGAGAATGTTGGTGCAAAATAGGATACAGATATAAGACCACACACAAAATCACAATGAATATACAAAATGGCAAAAATAAGAATATGAATATGTCAAAATAATCCGTGTCCTAAACGGGTTCACCAATTATTGTGGTGGACCTTAGAGTCTGTTAGCTTAGTATCCCAAATTTAAATAGAAAATAAAATACCAAATCAGTTAAGTTACTGAAAGAATATATTAAAGTTTTGTTACTTGGGTATTTACAAGGTCTAAAATCCACAATTAACGTAATAGACTCCAGAGGTATTGCGAGAAGACCACCCCAATACTTATTCGCCAATGTTGATGTTGCCAGGGGTCGACCAAAGTACATAGGAAGAAACTACGGTGCTCCTGCAAAAATTTGAGATAGAAATCAGGTGGTTAGAATTGATCGATGGCAGTTGAGATGGTGGAGAAGACGGAGAGTCGAAGGCAGAATTATATTTCCATTCAAAACACGTGGTAAAGTTCAAAGTACAGAGATTATGATTAAAACAGAGTAATGTACAATATGTTCATTTCTTACACAGTAGTAAAAATTGGATAAGTTTATTTTTGAGGATTCCGCAGCAGTTGTTTCAGTGTACACTTAAGTTATACAAAGATTCAAACAGTCTATCCTTAGAGTTCATGCGCCTACATAATTTTGTCGGATTTGAATCCGGTGGTCATTTTCCTTTAAATTCAGATATGCTATAACTTTTAGTTTCACAATTTAATTCTAACCATGCCATGAATAAGTTTCATGGGGTGTCACTAACGTGTCAGGGATGCTACTCAGTTTAAGCTATTAGTATGAAGATGAATGTTCAACATACCTATCAGAAGAAATGTCCTTTAATGAAAGATAAATGTGATTGTAAAATATGAATTTAATGACTGAGTGATGAAATTCTGCTATAGAAAATATCTCAGTTGCATTTACAAGCAATGAAATAATTAAAGGTTATCTTGTGACCACGAATATCTCTGTGAACAGCTGTCTGATGTAAATCTACGACAAAACTATGAGTAAGTTTTCTAGAAGGACAATCAAAGCTTCAGAAATAAACCATCCAGATTAGAAAACACAACAACTTTAAAAGCACTTCCATAGGTTTAAAACACTTTTCATTATTTCAAACTCTTATTTTTATTTTTCAGTCGCATGAAGGTGACTTGCGAAATACAGGACAGAGTTTCCTACAGTTATAGTGAAAAGATATATGGAGAGCCTGGGAGTACTGGACAGCTGTTTCGTCAGCCTAGTGTGGGACTCTTCATCAGTACGCACTCACCGGAGTTCGAACACAGGACCTTCTGGTTACAAGGCGAGCTCGTATACCATTAAGCCACTGATGATCACTGGCGACTGGCCCTATTCACGTAGGTAGTTACCTGGGGTTCCAGTGGGAAGTCGTGACCAGTCGGGTGCAGCGGGTTGGGTGTGAGGACAAATACTCGCCGAAGACATTGGCTAGGGGTCGCGCTATGTCGTGAATTGGCAGAAGGTAGAATTCAAGGACCATTGGATCGGCTCCCAGTGGCTCAATGGTCTACGAGCCACCTTGCCTTGTAACTGAAAGGTGCTGGGTTTGAACCCCATTGTGGTGGGTGCATAGTGCCGATGATTCCCAAACTAGGCTAATGAAACAGTTGTCCAGTACTACCTGGTTTTTAATGGTTCTCTAACTGATATCGATCCGTGGTCAAACTCATATAAACAAATCTAATCCTTACAAACCGTTCTCTTGAAAATTATATTTTTTTTCTAAACTCATATGTGAAATTTCTGTTTATAGTAATTAAAGCTGTATACATTTGCCGGAGTTAGTTTGTAGGGATTTAATTTGTTTCAGTTTTGATCTCGGACTGATGTAGGTTAGAGAACCATTGAAAATCAGAGATTACTGGACAGCTGTTTCGTCCTAGTTTAGGACTCTTCAACACCCATGATCCGACTAGTGATTAAACCTAGAAACGTCTGGTTACGAGGCCAATTGCTGTGATTTTATCGCAACCACCAGCCCATGTTATTGGCGGGTATTTGTCCCCACACCAGACTGTTCAGTACACCTCTGGGCAACTTTGTCCTGTAGTCATTCAGATTGACTTCCAAGAATTGGCTTGTGGGGATTTAATTTATTCCACGTTTACCTATGGACTGACTTCAGTTATTTAGTTATTCGGCTCAGCTTCACTGACCTAACTTTTATTAGTTTTTACGTACTGCATTTGCGCAAATTTGGGATGTTATGGTGAGGATTTGGCCATCATAAATGTTCATTCGTTAATCAAAGCTGGTCAATGACCAAAATATACCTTGATATTGCATTACTAGGTTGTAATATCCTGCCACTCATCGCTGTATAACACTACTATATCAGTGTTATACGGTTAGTGATATTCTGAACCTGTCTACTGAGAAATAACATCTCAATCAAATGTAGACATTGTATTACACGACAATGATATGTACTGTAATATATTTGAAGTCGGGTATTAATAAGGAAATTATGCATACTTCAAATGTTTCGACAAGTGGTAAATGACAGACTAAAAATTTTTCTACACACTAAATAGGTTGTCTAACCAGCATAGATTTTGCGTTATTTTCATTCCATTGAATTTCGAGTGAAGTTTGTAGCTTGAGCTTTGGGGTTTCACTACAGCTGTTATTTTGCTTATCCTTTTTACTGGATTTACAACAGGCTAAGCGAGGTTCATGAGTTCGTCCACCGGGAATTGAACCCCAACTACGTGCGTGGTTGGCGAGCGTGGTGAAACTGAAGTACCACCACAGAGTACAGTAGTTCCACATTTCATACACCTAACCCGTTTGCAAGTAAACATTCCAGCGGTTCACTTCTCTGTTATGCTTCATAAAGAAATACGCAACACTTGTGCACGTATTTAATGCTACTTTTTGAGTGCTCAGCTGTAATGTGTTTGGGTGAGGAGAACATTTCAGCATCCAACACAAGACAGTAACATGATGAATCCATAGCTCAGAGGACAATTGACTATAAGTATATCTGCACCCTGGACTATAGGTCTACCATTTTATTTCTGAAGAAATTCTCGAAAATATAACAAATGTAATGCTGTGGGAAGAGTATACAGTCACTCCAGAATACGAGCGGTATGTTACTGTTCGCTTACTGCTATTGAGTTCATCCTAGGCACCAGAATCCTGCCATCTGTGCCTTAAAATCATGTTGAGAAATGTTTTGTTTTTATTCTCTCTAACATACAGAAACAAGAATAGCAACACAGAGAGAAATAAAATAACAGAATAAAAAAGAAAACAAAAAAAACAACAAAAAGAAACGCACAACAAGAACAGGAAAGACAACATGAACGCATTACTCATTTTACTTACCTACTTATGTGCTTACTATGAACAGATGTATGACAGTTAATTTTGATTGATATTAGGGAACAGAATGCTTCTCATTAGAGAGTCTGTTGCTGCATGTATGTTTGAGTGTTTCAGTGTATGTTTGTTTGTTTGTTTGTAGCCTGCATATTCACGTGTTTCCTGTCATTTAGCCAATACATACAAAACACAATTACTAACTAGCAAACTTAGAGTCGATGTTATTTATTTACTTACTTCACGTCTTCATCTGAATTTTTGGATTATTATTCTGTTAACCGCTTTTATGCTGATAAATTGATTATTCCTACTTAGGCAGTCATTGCAAGCTTTAATTGGTGATGCATCTATCTTTATCTATCTTCTCAGGATTTTTTAATTTTTCTATTCACAATACATGAAATAAGTACACTTTGCTAACAGAATATGAATTGCACTAAAATTTCTAAAGTGATGCTCATTATTGAGAAGTTCACGAATAGAAACAACCCGAAATGTGTTTCGTAAGATAGTAGTTTTTATAAGGCGAATGAAGGTTAGGATAAAGTCTATCTTGAGGTATATCCACGCATAGTATGGCGAACGCTACGACAAATATTTCAGCCGTGCAGAAAAACGTTTATATAACATTTTTGAAACAGTCAAACGGAGCATATGGTATGCCTACAGTATTCAAAAAACAATCTTATTCTTCGCTAGAATTGGAGAGGCGAAATGACACAGTGAGCTGGTCGAAGACTTCAGGAAACCAGTCAGTTGGTGTCTCTCTCTCTCTCTCGATGAAAGCAAGAAGAAGAATGGGGATGTGCAATATCCTGACAATGTGTGAGACTGGGAAGGCTGCTGAGGTAGCCAACGAAATGCGAAGATATTGCATACAGGTTCTGGGTATCTGGGAAAGCAGAGAGAACGGTTGTGGACTATTGGAATTGTCAGCTGATGAGTTAATAATCTACTCCGCCCTGGTAATCCAGACAACAACCATGATCACACTGAGGAAATGAGTGTCTATAATGACGTCACCAGGGGCAGCCAAAGCCCTAATGAAGTGGGAATCAATCTCTCCTTCTAGGATACCTATTCAAGTATACTGTGGCGAGAGCGCGGCAAGTCTGTTTTGTCATAACCTACATCCTCACTTCCTTTCGCCCTCACAGTTTGACTTCTTCATAAAGGCTGTTAAAATAACACAGTTATTGGCTAGATCTTAAATTCATTGCTCTCCATCTGATAGAGGATATCTTGTAGAGATACTAACGAATAATAACAAGAAAGCTATTCAGAAGTTTCAGTTTGACATTTCAGTTGATCAAAAATGTACATTAGAAATTTCAAAAGACTGATTACTGAACAAAGGATATTCTTTTCGATAACTTCTTCAGGTTCTGAAGTTATACATCCATAATAATGAGACAGTCAGTGTTATTAACAACATTAATGTTTAAATAACGTCGAATCAATAATATCAATAGATTACAGTTCAGTAGCATCTGTAAGCGTGGTAATATACATCAACATAACACCACATCGAGTATCAGACAAATTAGGAAGATAACGACACAGAATTCATAGGCTTGACAGAAGACCAGGGCAGCAGTAGCTGCTGTCTGGACCTGTTTCTTCTACATAAATAGCGCCAGCAGATTGCAATTACCTCTGCTGTTTGAAGTAGGCGGTAGCTGGATGGTTTTAGTAGTTTATTTAGTGCCCGACAGAAGACGGAGAAGGATTCTTCAATGCTAGCTTTGTGGCCAGCTTGAACCAGGTGGTCTTATATTTAGATGTCGATGTTTTTCACTATACCTTTATTTAGTCACAGTGGTAGGTGCTCCTAAGCACGGAAAATCAAGTTCCTAGAGGAATGGCCAATACAACTCACTCCATAAGCGCAGTTGAATTGGCAGATACAGTTAGAGGTGACTAGTCTAGGTACTTCATCTTTCATCTGAGAAAAATAACAACCAGTCGTGCAGAAAATATGACTTCGATTTGCTCCTAATGAGAGGGGTTTGTAGTGCTTTCTGTGTGCCTATGCTGGAGAAGACAAACTGATGTTGTTTTGATGCTCACCGATATTCGAAATTCCAAGCACTGTCGCCATACTATGCCTCCTGTTACTTTGAAACTTTTGGAAGAATTCGGTTTAAGGTTGTATGCATATAAATGTTTATCCATCTAATTAATGTGTTCAGGGGTAAATTCCTCATATTCAGAATAAACAGTGTAGCTTCTAAGGGTATCCTAATAACTATAATCCCCATAGTTAACCGACACAAGATATCCCCGTGATGCAGGCGAAATGTGTCTTTATGACAGTTAATTCATGAAAATGTTAAGATGACCTCCAGAATCTTCCAATAAACATATTAAAAAGCTATATAACTTATTAGAAAAAAAGCTGAGATACAGTGTTTCCAGAAAGGAGAGATCCGAGGCAAATTATTGGAAATTATTCCTGTTGAAAAAGTTTTCAGTATGAACCGTTTGGAGGGATTACTATTATCACTGGTCGTTATGGTTACAATATAACTGAAATCTCAGATCATATTATCTAGTACAGGAGAGGAAATGTCCACTGAGTAAGCTTCAGAATGCAGTTTCTGATCTCACTGATCTCTCATTTTGATCATCGTAGCTGAATAGAAGATAACCTTAGGGGGAATATCATCAAAAGTAGGTTTGCTTATTATGAGCAGAATAAACTACGGAGGCTATTTATAAAATATTGGAACTGTGAAACGTATTGTGTTTGTTAATAAACAATCTGATTACACGTTGTTTGTTCGTCATAATGAGACAGGAGGAATTTTTAAAAATGAGAACTTTCTCTTGTTACACTTCGTTTCAGATAGTAATTTGTTTTATTTAAACACAAAACAATTGACACAATACGGCACCAAGAAGATGCTCCACTTAATAATAATAAAACTAGATATGAGATAAAAGTGAGAATATAGGTAGATAACGGATATAGTACTTCATCTGGTAGGAAAGTAGTCATATTTAGGAAGTTCGGACAGCATTCGCCAATTATTGTCGGAAAGGGAAGAGAGAAAGAAATTGCAGCTCGTTCATCACTAATCGCCATTCTGGGTCATATCTGATAACGTTTCAAACCACCGATTCGACCTATACCTCGTACTCCAGCAAAGGAGTCGTGATGCACCAACCGATGTTAACCTACCACAAATATCCTTCATCCCAAGACGCCAAGTTATGGGCTGACCACCTCTCTGCTTTTTCCAATCAGTCCTAGGGCTAGAGAAAAGAGACCTGTAAGGAAGCCTCTGGGATGAAATTTGCAGCATATATTCAAGCCATCGAAGCTGGTGTCTCCAGATGACGATACTCAGTGAATGGTGATCTCCACTGTGTCCAAACACACGCCTCTGAGCCTCAGAACTACTCCCGCGATGATGCCATCGAACGTGGGGAATCATACAGAGACAGCGGTGATCCAATAGACAGAGTCGCTGCACATTCTCAGCTCGGATAGGCAAAGTTTCGTGGGTGTAGAGCAAGACAGTACCAACCAAAGCATTCTAAACCTGATTTTTAACAGCCAGGTTAATGCCATAAAGGCGCATGAGGTGACTCAAGTTGACGCGTGTTACCCTAGTTTCCATGAAAATCTCATCCGTCACACCTCCGCCAGCACTCACACAACTACACAGATACACGAAATTATCGACGACTACAAGCGGTTCACCCGCCAGAGAGAGTGCAGGTACAGGTTCCTGCCAATCTTGCAACAGTACTTTGCTGTTAGATGGTAAAATACTATGGAGATGGCTGAATCAGCTTTTAAGATGTTAATAAATTTCACCGGCTATTTCCAGTGTTGACTGTCTGTTTTGTATGACATGCTCACTAACGGAAAATAAAGGTTGCATTTGTGTACTTACTTCCCTGCTTGATTAAGTGATTTGATTTCTACCTTTATTTGTGTATTTCAAATGGTGTCGCCATTCTGTATGCTTTTGTCGGCCAACGTTACGAAAGCTTATCATCTTAAAAGTCAGCATATTCGAATGTCCTTGCACTTATAACAGTTAAAGAATTTCATGAGGATTTGATTTCTAGACATATCATCAATAAAATTCTAACTGGTATACGTCAAATGCTTTTTGTAGCGTACGTAACCTAGGCTACCTTGATGGTTTACTGAGTTAAAAATGACAGCGAAAAAATCGGAGTAGATGTTAAGTCTATCGGTTAAATAGGCTGTTTTGAATCGTGTAACAGCGTTTCTTTCTTTATCACCCACCATATAACATCTATCCGGCTGAATATTAAAGTACTTAAAATCCAGTAAGCCTGAAGACTAGATTTGAAAACTTTCTTCCAACCTGTAGTGTGCAGCACTATCAATTACTCAGACGCATTAATAAATGCAACATTTCTATTTTGATTTCTTATCTTGTCGTCTGCATGCATGTAGGCTTTTCAGTTACGTTTATGCCTTTCATTCGTCCATTCATTTGTCATCTTCATCAATTAGCGAGAGGAACAATTATTGTATGCAAATATTACTATCATCATTATTATTATTATTGTTTGCATCCAGACAATATAAGACAATTTTCATTGACAGGTTGACATTTATTTTCGATTAATAAAGCTGATAACATTTAATGATTCATGAATGGTTAATCTAGAGTATGCTAAGAAAAAACTTGATAAATAGTCTAGTTAATCTAGTAAATAAATACTCATTTTTATTGCGTAGAATTACAAACGAGTTCTATACACTTCAGTTATTTATTGTCCATTCCGTTTTGTAATGTCTTTCTGTGGACTGGAATTGAATCTATCATTTGCAAATTTATACATTTCAAAGGTGAGAAATCAGCACAGTTTCCTTTAGAAACTGAAAAATATAAACGTAACAGTAATGTGTTCTGGTTGATAATATAAATGGCGGTCAAGAAAGCCAGCATAAACCCGTGTTACTACATACTACTAACTGATTGACTGATATCAGTAGTTGTGTACCACTGAGTTCAACCAGTAGTGTTTGCTAATCGGACAACCGTTTCGTTCTTTGGGGGGGGGGTAAGCTCACCTATGGTTTATTTATTTCGACACGGCTGAGACAACCGAGTCATTTTAAATCACCGACTGCCTGCTTTCTTAATTTCCATTCATAGTACCATGTAGAACATACTTTTCAAAGGAATATTTTAGGTTTCCAGAATAAACTGTAATGAATTCTCAGCTTAAACCATGTACCTGAGGTGCATAGGACACTTTTTACGCATGCCTATCTGTCTTCAGCGACGAATGATGTTAGCCGAAG